CCGGGCACTGAGCGCCCCTGTGTGCAGCACCCCCCGAACCCCAAACTCCCCCCTTGTCCCATTACACCAGTGACTGACTGCCGGGCACTGAGCGCCCCTGTGTGCAGCACCCCCCGAACCCCAAACTCCCCCCTTGTCCCATTACACCAGTGACTGACTGCCGGGCACTGAGCGCCCCTGTGTGCAGCACCCCCCGAACCCCAAACTCCCCCCTTGTCCCATTACACCAGTGACTGACTGCCGGGCACTGAGCGCCCCTGTGTGCAGCACCCCCCGAACCCCAAACTCCCCCCTTGTCCCATTACACCAGTGACTGACTGCCGGGCACTGAGCGCCCCTGTGTGCAGCACCCCCCGAACCCCAAACTCCCCCCTTGTCCCATTACACCAGTGACTGACTGCCGGGCACTGAGCGCCCCTGTGTGCAGCACCCCCCGAACCCCAAACTCCCCCCTTGTCCCATTACACCAGTGACTGACTGCCGGGCACTGAGCGCCCCTGTGTGCAGCACCCCCCGAACCCCAAACTCCCCCCTTGTCCCATTACACCAGTGACTGACTGCCGGGCACTGAGCGCCCCTGTGTGCAGCACCCCCCGAACCCCAAACTCCCCCCTTGTCCCATTACACCAGTGACTGACTGCCGGGCACTGAGCGCCCCTGTGTGCAGCACCCCCCGAACCCCAAACTCCCCCCTTGTCCCATTACACCAGTGACTGACTGCCGGGCACTGAGCGCCCCTGTGTGCAGCACCCCCCGAACCCCAAACTCCCCCCTTGTCCCATTACACCAGTGACTGACTGCCGGGCACTGAGCGCCCCTGTGTGCAGCACCCCCCGAACCCCAAACTCCCCCCTTGTCCCATTACACCAGTGACTGACTGCCGGGCACTGAGCGCCCCTGTGTGCAGCACCCCCCGAACCCCAAACTCCCCCCTTGTCCCATTACACCAGTGACTGACTGCCGGGCACTGAGCGCCCCTGTGTGCAGCACCCCCCGAACCCCAAACTCCCCCCTTGTCCCATTACACCAGTGACTGACTGCCGGGCACTGAGCGCCCCTGTGTGCAGCACCCCCCGAACCCCAAACTCCCCCCTTGTCCCATTACACCAGTGACTGCCTGCCGGGCACTGAGCGCCCCTGTGTGCAGCACCCCCCGAGCCCTAGGACATGACGGTGAAGGACTCCCCGGGGTGGCTTTTCCCTGCATTTGTGCTCTCCAGCAGCGTGACGCGGGCCTGCGCTGGCTAGCACTGTTCAGCTTGTCCCTTGCCCGCATTCCCACCATGCAAGGAGGGACTCGGCTCAGGGCACCTACCTGCGCCAGCGACGTGGCGGCTCCCTCCTTGAGCTCTGAAGGCGCCGCGCTGAAGAGGCTTCCCACAGGCTCACAGCCAAGGGTCAGCGCTGATTTTCTGGAGCATCTCAGCCCTTTGGCCTCACCATCCGTTTTGGGAAGACAGAGTCTGGTTGCAGCCGGTGCCTTGTTCCCATGGCCGCGCGCCAGCCATCTTCATCCGAGGCAGGTGGCTGAAACGCGGAGCATTTCAAGTGTGTCTTGAGGGACAGTCCCTGGGCAAGAAGCAGATGCTCTTAACCCAGCCTGTGTCTCTCCACGGCCGGCAGAGCCACAGGGCCGGGGCTGGCAGCTCTCCGCGAGGCAGCTGAGCCGTGGGCCCTGCGGACGTCACTTTACATGGCTCCAGCAGCTTTTCACGCGCTCCCTCCGCTCAATGAGGCGCATTCGCAGGCCAGGCAGGGGAGCGGTGCTGAGGTCCTTGAGCAAACGCGAGCAGCGCCGAGGAAAGCCCAGGCGGACAGGGCCAGGCCCCAGCGCAGGCCGTGTGGGGGGAGCTGGGCCAGGGCCCACGAAGGAGGGGCGCCGGGTAGGTGCTGTCCGATGGCCGGAAGAGCAGTCTGCGCTGGGCTGGCATCAGGCCCAAAGAACGGGGCCGGTGGCCAGAGCAGGGTGTGGGGCGGCCTCTGACAAGTGGGGCGGGATCGACTAACCGTCCCCAGGCGGCACACGACAGCGCCCTGGAGCCGCAACATCAAACCGCACAGCCCGGGAGTCCCGCGCCCTCCGGGCGGCCGCCTCTGCTTTCGGGTTTGGACCGCGGGGTGAGAACGGCGACAGTAGCGGCGCTGCCAGCGAGGACCAAGCAGCCGGACTTCACAGCAGAGAGAGGCCAGGAGCCACAGGCTGCGTGGGGCAGGCCCAGCTGCAGACAGGCCCTCGGCAATGGCGGGGTTAGTGCTGCTGGTGCCCACCTGCACCGCGCAGAGCAGGAGCCCGCTGCCAGGGGTACGTGCAGCAAGACGGAGGGAGGGCACGCGTGGGGAAGCGAGACCCCGGGGGTCAGCGCTGCAGAGGCGAGGGGGGGACGGCCCCGCTCGCCAGAGCTGCGTGACAGCTGCAGACAGGAAGGAAGCGCGCTCAGTGCGGAAGGGAGTGGGACACGCGGGCTGTCATTCCCTAGTGGACTTGGCAGACACGGAGGCTAACCCCCGCCTCCGGCAGAAAGCGCCCGGCACCGTCCGTGAGCACGGACTGCTCTGATTCGGGAAGGGAACCTGGCTGGGGCTACTGGGGCACCGACTCGCTGGATGGAGTGACACTGAGTCCGCAGCTCCATTTCCTCAGCGCCCAGGGCTTTCTCAGTGCCTCTGCCCCAGGCCTGTCCACGTCCCCCCGCTCTTGCTAGCGTGGGTAGAGCCACACAGCAGACACGATCCTGGCCTGTGGCCGTGTGGCTTCCGGCTGAGCCACACAAACACGATTCTTATCAGCTGCTCTGGGGCTCAGCAGTAACAGGGCCCCAGGAAGCACGTTACACCGGGTAGCTTTGGTCGGAAGGCGAGGGGGGGCTCTCCTGGCTCTACCAGACCTATCACTGGGTCTAAGAATGGCCGTTGTTGGGGGACGTCACTTTCCATTCACATGCGCCACTTTTCAAACCCCAGTTTTGATAACCTGTTTCGTTTCCAGCAAGTGAAACCCGACAGTTTTAACGAGCACTCACCGTTTTCACTGGCAAGCGCCTGGCTCCCCGTTTCCCCAGGGAACCCCCCGGGAAACCTCACAGAAAATGAACATTTTTCGGGAAACTCTTTGGTTCAGCCCCCCCTCCCCCCCAGCTCTGCCCTGCGGGTCTTGGGACTTGGCAGAGTCCAGCTGTGCCCCCGGAGCGGGCGTTCTGCACAGCCAGAGGGGCCAGAGGCCGGCCCAGCGCGGTTCGGACCACATGGAGGTCCCTCTCCCGTGCAGCCGAGCCGGGGGCTGGCTGAGGTGGCCGAGTCAGATGAGTCAAAGAGACACTTTTCTCTCCCTGCTCCTCGGCCCGGCTCCACCTCTGAGCACGGGGCTGCTTGGGGCGCTGCTGAAAAGGAATCGCAGAGTGAACTGCCCTGTGGAAATGACCAACGAAATGGGACTCAGAGGGCAGGACGCCCCCCTTGCTCCTGCATTCTCATGTACTCGGGGCTAGAACTGCTACTGGATCCAGCTCCTCCAGCAGGAGCAGTCTCCTGCCCCCTTGCGCTGCTGGACCCTCTGAGCACGGGGCTGCTTGGGGCGCTGCTGAAAAGGAATCGCAGAGTGAACTGCCCTGTGGAAATGACCAACGAAATGGGACTCAGAGGGCAGGACGCCCCCCTTGCTCCTGCATTCTCATGTACTCGGGGCTAGAACTGCTACTGGATCCAGCTCCTCCAGCAGGAGCAGTCTCCTGCCCCCTTGCGCTGCTGGACGTGACCCCAGAGCTCCTGTCCCACCCCGAACCGGATCCCCCGGAGCCATGGAGCCAGGATTCTCCGCGCAGAGCAGCCTGGCAGGGACCGGCGACGCCCCACCAGCATGTGGCGCAGAGCATCACTCTCCTGATGTCCTGTGGCAGAGACTGGTCCCCCCTTCTTCCCGCGGCTGGCACAGGGCCGGCGTGATGCTGCTGGGGACATGGTGTGCCCCGAACGGTCCCGCGGGGCCAGCAGTAGCTGTTGTCCCTGGACGTGGAAAGTCGCAGGCCCCTTGGATTCTGTGTTCTCCCCTTGCGACCCCCAGCGGGGGAGGGCAGCTGTGGCTGCGGCAGTGGCAGGGAGGGGGCGGGAAGAGACAGGGGCCTGGTTCTCCTCCGCTCCTGTGTTTAGCTCAGGGTGAAAAGGGGGTGTTGGGGGGCATGTTTGTGTCTCCCATATTCTGGGGCAGGCTGCCCAGCCCCAGCTGGGACTTAGAGCAGCCCCAGGGTTGCTCTACTTGATACCCTGCCTCTCATGGCCCCCTGTGGCTTGTGGCAGCGGAGAACAGCCAGGGGCCATGGCCTGGAACTGGAGAGCTCAGTGCGGCGCTGCTGGGCCGGAGCGGGGCCCTTTCTCCCAGGCCGGCAGCGAGTGAGCTGGCGAAGGGGCGTGGCCCCTCTGAGTCACGCTCTGCAGCGAGCGCCTTAGGAGAGTGACCTCACTCCAGGGAGTTCACATGAAACTGGGCTGCTCTCAGGGCTCAGCTGGGGGAGGATGGGGCAGCTCTGGGCTCAGGGAGGAACGTTTGTGAGCCAGCCGAGCAGCGAGAGAACCGGCTTCAGCGGGGAGCCAGGTTAGGCTGTTTCAGCAGAAACCACCCGAGTCTCACACGTGGATTGCGGCATCAGGGCATCAGGCTGAAAGTGCCACCGGACTCCCTGTGTCCCCTTGAACCGAATCACGCTGAACGCAACGGACCTCCGAGTGTCCCTGCCCTCCCGCTAGGGCGTCCGGGACTTTTCTTCCCGAAAGATGCAGCTGAGCTGGCAGTGAGAATCCAGGCCCCTGCCAGGTTCCTCCCAGGTTTCTGGTGCCTCTGCGCAAAGATGCCTCTGCCCAGCTGTCAGGCCGGGCGGATGGGGCGGTAAGTAAGAGGCAGATATTTATACACAACGTATGGGGTAACCGGGAGCAAACAGCCTGCAGAGCTGAGTGACAGGTCAGGCTGGTTTTCCTCTGCTGATTACCCTGGCGTTCCCGTACAGGTGTGAGGACAGACACACTTCCTGTTCCATTCCGGCCGAACTCCTGCTCTCTCCGGATCTCTGGAACCATGGAGCTGGCAGCCCTCTGATCCCTGACCCCAGCCCCAGCCGCGGCCCTGGAACCGCACAACCCTCTGGTAAGCAGGTTAGGAAGCTGCCCAGCTCCTTGCAGAGCTGCCAGGCAGGGATTGGGGGTTAATTAACATGCTGCTTTCTGGGCATGCGATGGGGAGTGGACCTGGGTTTGTTTTCCTGCCCTCTCCGAAGGAGAGTCCTCTCAAGCAGCATGTTTGTAGCAGATGGGAGAATTCTGAAGACTGAAGGAACTGGGCTTGTTTAGTTTAGAAAGGAGAAGACGGAGAGGGGACATGACTGCGGTTTTCAGGTATCTAAAAGGAGGAGGAGAAAACGTGTTCTCCTTGGCCTCTGAGGACAGGACAAGAAGCAAGGGGCTCAAACTGCAGCAAGGGAGGTTCAGGTTGGACATTAGGAAAAACTTCCTGCCTGTCCGGGGGGTGAGACACTGGGATAAGTTGCCCGGGGAGGTTGTGGAATCTCCATCACTGGAGATTTTTAAGGGCAGGTTGGCCAGACAGCTGTCAGGGATGCTCTAGATGTTGCCTGGTCCTGCCGTGGGGGTAGGGACTGGACTCGATGGCTTCTCGTGGTCCCTTCTAGTTCTAGGATTCAGTGGAATGGGGGCGGAGGAGCCAGGGTTTCTGGGTTCTTTTCTCTGACACTGACCATCACTGCTCTGTGCCTCGGATTCCCCATTAGTGAAAGGGGCAGAATAGGAGCTGCCTCAGCAGGTGCTTTAAGGCTCAGTGAGAGGTCGCCAGGCAGACGCTGGCATTGTGGTGGTGAAGGGGATGTTACTTTTTCTCGGTGGCTCTGATTTTTCATGGTGAAATGGACCAAGCTCCCATGGAAATGCAAGGCCCAGGGTTAGGCCAAAGGCTCTGCTGGTGTCAGTTGGCCCTGCCGTGGTGAAGTGAATGGAACAGCCCCAACGTGGGCCCAGGCTTGGTACCGTGAGGCCACGGGCCAGAGAACCAGGAACTCCTGAGCCCTGAGCTCTGCTGTGTCACTGCATGGCCTTTGGCTAGTCACTGAAGTGCCTTTCTGTGCCTCGGTTTCCCCATCTGTGACATGGGGCCGATACCTCAGCGGGGTGCTACTGCCGTAACGTGCCGTGGCGTGTTACCGCACAGATTTGCGACTGCTTTGCCCCACGGCCCAGGGAGAGGCCGGCTGCCCGGACGTTTGTTTCTCCTCTTAGTGACATTTATCCCTTTCTGTTTGGAGAACAGCGATCGCCCTCTCCCGGGTGCTGCACCGAGCAGAAAGAACCAGCCTGTTCTCTTTAACACCTGCATGGACTCGACGGATGCACGGTGAGTTCCTTGTCGTGGTGCAAAGCTCCCTGTGTATACACCGGCCTCAGCCAGGGGTGCTGGCCGGCTCTGTGGGCAGTGCTCCTTACCAAGCCAACGGCGGGGGGGGAAAGGGCTGGACCCTGCCGAGGGGGGGGGGATAACCCCTGTGCCCACCCACTGGCCAGAGCCTGGGCTCGGGGCCTTTGTTCAGGTGGAGGGGTGGCTGGATCAGCAGGCCCAGCGTGGTGAGGGACAGCTCCCGGGCTCCGATGGAGCAGGGAAAGGCCCAGCAGGAGCCAGGGGCTGGAAGCTGAAGCGAGACGGATCCAGACTGGCCAGAAAAGGCTCCTGTGAAGGGCGCGGGGAGTTACCCTGGGAACCGCTCCCCGGGGGCAGCAGGTTTTCCGACTGGTGCTTTCTGAAGAGGGGCTCTAGCTCAAACTGGAGTGGACGCAGGGTTGCCCTCGGGTCTGAGCTTTTCCGGTGGTAAGCGGGCACGCTGGCCCTGCTGGCTCTACTCCACGGGTCTGGGGAGCAAACCATCCCCTGGGGACCTGCCCAGCAAGTACACCCCTCCGGTGCCCTGCGAAGGGGCTGTGCTGAGGACAGGAGGGCTCCTGTGGCACCCTCCAGACTACCAGGTTAATCTGGGCATCAGCCTGCGTAGGTAAACCCCACTTCATCAGGTGCATTGGAGTGGAAATGACAGAGGCAGGGAGATAGAGATGTGAGCGCTTGTACAACAAAGGGAGGGAGTTACTTATCAGATGCAGGACCAGTGATAAGGAGACCAGTTCAGAGTGGGTGGATGTGGCTCACGCCCAGCAGCTGATGGGAGGTGTGAATACCAAGAGAGGGGAAACTGCCTTTGTTGTGAGAGAAACCTTCTAAGTCCCTATTCAGTCCTAGTATGACTGTGTTAAACTGGCAAACCCTAGAATCCTAGACTCCTAGGACTGGAAGGGACCTCGAGAGGCCATCGAGGCCAGTCCCCTGCCCTCACCAGACGGCACTGTCTGGATCATCCACCCAGAGAAGTGAAAAAACAGACCAGCAGAGCCAGAAGAATTCCCGGACATGAGCAACTTCAAGACAGGCCAAGAAGTGAAAACAACAGAATTCTACTTGTCACCTGCAGCCCACAGCTTAAACCCCAGCAATCTACAGCCGGTTCTGGAAAATGACCCCTCACTCAGAGACCTTGGGGGAAAGGCCAGTTCTCGCCTACAGACAACCCCCTCGCCTCAAACAAATTCTTTCCAGTAACCACGCAGCACCCCCCCCCCCCCCCACCCACCCCCCCCGGACCCCACCCTGCCTGTCACCCCCAGCGATTTCATCACTGGACCCAACCACGCCAGCCACTACATCAGGGGCTCATTCAATCACACACCCACTGATGTGATCTATGCCAGCAATGCCCCACTGCCCTGGATATTGGCCAAATGGACAGTCTCTATGGGGAAAGCAATGGGCACAAATCAGATATCGGAAAAGGCAACACACAGAAACCTGTTGGAGACACTTTAATCTGCCTGGACACCCAGCAATGGATCTCCAAGTCACCGTGTTACTTCCGGCCAATTCCACAAGCCAAATGCACAGGGAAAGGTTAGAACTTAAGTCCATTTACAAGTTTGGGACCCATCACAAAGGTCTGAATAAAACATTCCCTGGCTAGCACGCGACCTTCCACATGCCAGTGCACTTAACCAACTAAACAATGGGCACTTAAGAACAATTTGCACCTTCTCTATCAGCTTCTTGTAACTCAAGGCTCTAATTCACTCTCTTTCCCCCTTGTTTCCCTCCCCCCTTCCCTGTTTTATTTTTGGAAATGGCCTTTTTATACTCCAGGCATCTGAAGATGTGACTCGTGTCCATGCAAGCTCATGACACCGTCTACAGGGTTTGTTTGTCTTCAAGGTGCTGCTGGACTATTGGTTGTTGTTGAAGTTTTTCCAGTTACAGACTAACTCAGCCACCCCTCTGAAGCTTTAGCTCATCCCTGCCAGGTGTCTGTCCAACCTGCTCTTAAGTATCTCCAGGGATGGGAGATTCCACCACCTCCCTGGGCAACTTATTCCAGCCCTTAGCCACCCTGACAGAAAGTTTCTCCTAATGTCCAACCTAAATCTCCCTGGCTGCTTCTTACCCTACCCTCAGAGGCCAAGGAGAACCATTTGTCTCCCTCCTCCTTGTGACACCCTCTTAGGTACTTGAAAACCACTCGCACGTCCTCTCTCGGTCTGCTCCTTTCTAAGCTAAACAAGCCCAGTTCTTTCAGCCGTCCCTCCTAGCTCCTGTTCTCTCGACCTTTCATCATTCTCGTTGCTCTTCTCTGGACCCTCTCCGATTTCTCCACATCCTTCTTGAAACGCGGCGCCCAGAACTGGACCCGATCCTGCAGCTGAGGCCTGAGCAGGGCAGAGCAGAGCGGAGGAACGACTCCTCGTGTCTGGCTCGCAACAGATGAATTGCAGCTCTGCTGTTTGGCTGTGTAGCCCGGTTTGGAAGTGGCTTTGTAGGAGGATGGCCACGTGTAAATCCATTACTGCGAGTGCAGAGAGGTGAACGGGTCCCCCTCCTGTTTTGTATGTTGCCTTTCTTGGTGTCTGACTTACGCTCGTTTACCCACGAAAGCTTATGCCCAAACAAACCTGTTAGTCTCCCCGGGGCCACAGGACTGCTGGTTGTTTTCGCAGCTACTGACTAACACTAGCTGCATAAGCACGGGCCGGGGAGCCAGGAGTTCTGAGGGTTGCACTCAGCTCTGCTGAGGACTCACTGCATGAGCTTGGGTAAGCCCCTGCCTGGCTCCGTGCCTCAGTTTCCCCCTCTGCAGGGGGGCCTTGGGGTCTGTGGCTGAGGAGCTTGTCTCACTGGGCTGCAGGAAGCCGTGTCTGAGTTGCTCCATCTGACCCCCCACCCCAGAGCCAAGGGAATAATAGCCGTGTGGCGCATCCCGCTATACATCAGCCTTCTTTGGGCTGGCGTCTTCAGTACATCGGTGCTCTCGGGGGTCTGAGCAGATTTCAAAGGGGTGCAGTCACTGCGGCTGCTGCCCTGCCCCTTGCTCGGACCGCCCCCTGCCTGCTAGATGGGCCCTTGCCCTGGCCTGACCGTGTCAGAGGAGAAGTCCCAGGTATCGCTGCAGGATCAAGCAGGCTGGTTTGCAGCATCACATCGCGTGTTTTGGTGGATTAGAAACCGTCTCTGCTCTCACCTCAACTTCCTCCTGCCGCCGCGCACGAGAAGGGCTTGTTTATACTCCCGCCCAGAGGGACTCGGCAGGGCCCTTCAAGCTCAGTCTAGCCTGAGGATGCGAGCGAGGCACTAGCCTGGCGCTGGCTCTGCAGCAGCGGGGACTGTGCCCGTCGCTAGCCGGGGGGCTCCTCACGGCACCAGCAGTGCCAGCCACGGGCACAGAAGAGCCAGGCTCTCGCCCTGGGGCGTTTGCTTTTCCGCTCAGAAAGGCAAACGAGTTCAGAGGCCAATGGGTGATGGGCCGGGAAGGGGGAAGAGCAGATCTTTAGGCAGCTCATTTCAACTACTTCAAAACCACAGGAGTTTTTGGTCTGCCTCTGATCTCATTCCTCCCAAGTGATTGATACTTACCCGATTCCTGGGACTTTCAGTTTCTGTTTGTTTCACCGTACCGTAAGGCCGCAGCTGGGTCCTTTCAGTTTTGCTTAAACACCCACTTGGAAGCAGCCGATAATTTCTAACTGTCACTTGCACCTGCTTTCCCATCATTGATTTTGAACACTGGGCTTGGCCTTCTGTGAACTTTGTGTTAAGGAAATGCCAGAGGAAGTGGTGAAGGCCAGGACTTTAACAGGGGTCAAGAAAGAGCCAGATAGATTCATGGAGGTTAGGGCCATCAATGGTTACTAGCCAGGGTGGGTAAGGAATGGTGTCCCTAGCCTCTGTTTGTCAGAGGGTGGAGATGGATGGCAGGAGAGAGATCGCTTGATCATTACCTGTTCGGTTCACTCCCTCTGGGGCACCTGGTATTGGCCACTGTCGGCGACAGGACGCGGGGCTGGATGGACCTTTGGTCTGACCCAGTCTGGCCGTTCTAATGTTTTTATATGATAGAGGTCTATAAAATCATGACTCGTATGGAAAAAGTGAATAAGGAAAAGTTATTTACTTATTCCCACAATAAAAGAACTAGGGGTCACCAAATGAAATTAATGGGCAGCAGGTTTAAAACAAACAGAAGGAAGTTTTTCTTCACTCAGAGCACAGTCAACCTGTGGAACTCCTTGCCAGAGGATGTGGTGAAGGCTAGAACTTTAACAGGGTTCAAAAAAGAGCTAGATGGATTCATGGAGGTTAGGTCCATCGGCTATTAGCCAGGATGGGCAGGGATGGTGTCCCTGGTCTCTGTTTGCCAGAGGCTGGGAATGGGCGACCGGGGAGGGCCTCGTGGTGATTCCCTGATCTGTTCACTCCCTCTGGGCACCCGGCATTGGCCGTTGTGAGCAGACTGGACACTGGGCTGGATGGGCCTTTGGTGTGACCCAGGCCGGCCGCTCCGATGTTCGTAGGTGGCAGGTTGTGTCTCAGTTGTTGTCTTTACATCAGGGTGGGATTTCACTGGAGAGACACACTATTGCTTATGCATGAGCCCTGGCACAGAGGCGGGAATTACTCATGGAAGTTTTCCAGCTTGTGCTGAGTGGCTGCTTAGCCTGGATTGCCATCACAGTCCCTTCTCGCCTTGATGCCTGAGTGTGTGTGGGTGACATGGGCTGGTCTGGGGTCAAAGATTAGAGCTGGAAACGGGCAGATTGTGAATCGAGTGCTGCCTGGCCAACATGTTTGCTGAATTTGTGTCATTTCACGGGAAGGGTTTGATCTGAAAGGATTTCTGGTTTAGAAAAGTCTTTCCAGTATATCGAAAAAATGGCCAAACGTTAAGATAAGCTACAAAACCAAACAAGCCCCTTCGGCTGGTAATTATCTGCGATTACTGGTCACCACATTTTCCATCTTCTGGTAGACCTGGCATATTTGTTTTCAATTTTCTGGATTGCCAGAGAACTGACAGATCGGTCAGTCACCTTGGGCAGGGGGGAAGCATAGGCAGGCCTAGAGCTCCGTCCCAGCAGCCTTTTGTGATGTTGTTCTGCTCCTCCAATGGAAAAATGAGAAAATAGCCTGATTGGAGGAGGCGCAGGGACATCTGTGATGACTCGCCCAAGGAAGTTAGGGTATGTCTACACTACCCTCCTAGTTCGAACTAGCGGGGTAATGTATGCATACCGCACTTGCAAATGAAGCCCGGGATTTGAATTTCCCGGGCTTCATTTGCATAAGCGGGGAGCTGCCATTTTTAAAACCCCGCTGGTTCGAACCCCGTGCAGCGCGGCTACACGGGGCATGAACTAGGTAGTTCGAAGTAGGAGGGTAGTGTAGACATACCCTTAAATATTACATGTACCAAGTGGATAGTGAAATTCGGCAGCCGTTCAATGTACTCATGGAAGAATGTGCCATTCCCATGGCAAAGGGGGCAAACCGAGGC